AGGTGAAAAAAGAGCTGCCGGAGGTCCACGTGCGCAGCCGTGGGGAGGTTCCTGAGATCCCCAGCCTTCATGGCGTTGTTCCTTCTGGCCCTCCTGACCCCTTGCGGTTCCAGGATGATGAGTGCGTGATCCGACAGGGTGAGTCTCCAGAGCTTCCGAATCCCGTACGCGTAAGTCTGCCGCACTGGGCAGGCAAGCACGTCGATCTGAGATTCGCTTTCTCTGTCGACCCTGGCAGGCCGGACGAGTGGACCGCGGGTGCTTGTCAGTAGGTCCCTCAGAAGGGCGGAAGCCCCCACCTCACCGTCTCGCGGGTCGTCGAGCTGCAGGTTGACATTCCCTCCCCAGTAGGTGTCGAGGTGCTCCATTGCTTCGAAGCTATGGCGATTTCGGAGAGGCTGTCCTCTTTTCTGGAGGGTCGGAGGTACACCGAGACTACACGGAACCTGCACTCGCCCTGCTGGACAACAGCGGCGACGGCGCATCCTGGAAGCATGACCTGGTACTCGAGGAGCGCAACGCCATGGGGGAGAAGGATGCCCACCCCTCCGGGGAGCCCACCGGTCGGTCCCAGGTAGCCTGGGGAGGCCACCAGAGTTCGCGCTGGGAACATAGTTCTCCAGACCTCAGTCTCGTGCTCGGACCAGTGCGTCTCTTGAACCAAGGCGACGCGGTTGTTCATGGTGGCTTGGGCGAGAAGGGCATGCTTGATCTGGGCTATCTGACATTCCAGCTGGCATTCCAGCTGGCAATGCGCCAGCTGGAATGGCGTTGAGGTGGGCATTCCGCTGTGCATTTCCGGAGCTATCTGACATTCCAGCTGGCAAGCCTGGAGAGGCTGCACGCTGGGGCGGCGTTAAGCGCGTGTAGCAGGTCGTTAAGAGTGAGAACCCCGCACAGGGAGTCCAAGGGGTGACTCCACCCGGGCGCGCGGCCCCGGCATGGGTAGGTGCCTGGGCGGGGACCCCAGCGCCTGGTCGAGCGTTCTGGGGCCCTCAGTGGAATCTAGGGGCGTCCCGGTCTGGGAAAGAGCCTTTATCTCGCAGAAGCTGCTCCGCGAGGTCGTCTGGGAGGAGACGCTCCCTGAGTTGTGCCCAAGGACACTGCCCTCCTGCATACGTTCTCGCCGCCCCCCACCCCTGTGCTATCTGCCCGCCTGCGGGGGCGGGGGCGCAGGCCACATCAGCGGGGCGCCCTGCGCTCCAGGCTCGTAGCGCAGAGACAACTCCGCGCTGCAGGCACCGCGAAGTAAATGCCGACCGCGTCGTAGAGCGCCCTATCGCGCATTCCAAGCCCCCGGTAGCAGCCGGCTAGGCCCAGGGCCCTCACCCTTTCCTCGGCAGCGGGAACCCTGAGCCCGTGTGCTCTGCCCTCCTTCATGGGAGCCGGCGGTGAACCGTCAAGCTTGGTTACCACCGGGAACTCGTCGAGCTTCCTCGTGCAATGCGGGCGCGGCAATCTCGCATTGCGCGCGCGAGGGCGCGGTCTGATGCAGAAGAACGTGGAGAATAAGAAGAAGTCAGGGACAAAACATATCTAAAAAAAATAAACATACCAGACCGATTTCAGGCGTCTGGACACTTTGAGCTAGCGCGCCTGTTGATTTTCTTCCCATTGCTCTGCCGAACAGCGTAAGAAAACCAGCACCATCTCTAAAAAAGTAGCAGAGCACGAATAATTGTTCGACCCCAGCGCTGACAGCAGACCGAGTTTAAACTAGCCCGCCTGATTAGTCTCTTCTAATTGCTGTGCCGAACAGCTCTGTAGCTCATCTGCAGCTGGAGTTCAAGGCAAGAAAATCAATACAATCTTTAGAAACTTAGCAGATTAGTTTTTCAGACCCAGCGCTAATATCAGACCGACTTCGGGCGTCGAGATACTTTCAAATAGCGCGCCTGATGATTGCATTCCGATTGCTGTACCGAACAGCTCTGTAGCTCATCTAGAGCGAGTTAAGTGAAGAAAACCATCATCATCTCCAAAAATAGCACACTACGAATAGTGTTCCGGCCCCAGCGATGATAGCAGACCGAGGTCAGGCGTCTAGATACTTTAACAAACGCGCTTGATGATTTCCTTCCGATTGCTGTGCCGAACAGCTCTGTAGCTCATCTGCAGCTCGGGTTTAGTCAAGAAAACCATCAGCACCTCCCAAAAATTAGTAGGGAGCACAAATAGTTCTTCAGTCCCAGCGCTGATACCAGACTAATTCCAGGCGTCTAGGTACTTTCACTAGCGAGTCTGATGATTTCCTTCCGATTGATGTGTTAAGTCAAGAAAACCATCACCATCTCCAGAAAACTGGGAGCCGGCGGTAAACCGTCAACCGGGTACTTGCAGTTTGCGGTCCGACCACAGGGCCCTACAAGGGCGGTCGGGCTGGTGCAGCCACACCCTGTGGGTTGGGTGCACCTGAAAAACGTGATACTCATGGAGTATCTTGCAAGCAGAGCGGGCAAGTCTAGAAGCGGCCTCAAGCTCACACTGCGTAACCGTCGCATCGGGAAGCAGGCCAAAAGCCTCCTCCGCCAATGGACGGGTAAACGAGTGCAGGCTCTCACCAACCCCTTCACCAGATTGCTCACTAGCGAACTCTCCATCCAGCCACCATCCTCCCCCAACACCTGAACTACTAACGCCACCGTCGTACGCACCACGGATTGCGATCAACGTTTCAGTATTGCTTATCTTTTGTTGAATGCTTATATACCTCGATTGTAATGGTAGATGTCTGATTTCCCAAGTAAGTAGGTCGGCACGCTCATTGCCTTCACGAAAGTGATGACGCCACAGATCATACCCTGTGGCAGGGCCCTGCAGATTAAAATTACGGCAAGCACCATCTAGCAAGTCAATAACCTCCCCCACCTGCGATCGGCATATGTTGTTGCAGCTCCACATTCCCATCATCCAGTTGGTTATCAGCATGGAGCCGCCTAGAAGCTCCATCGCAACTCCGCCTCGTCTCTCGAAGCGGACCTCACTTTCAAAGTTGGCAGCAAGGCGCTTGGCAATACGATCAAGCGCCGCCTGTGTTGGCTGTGTTTCCTCCTCCTCCTCTCTGCGTATATGATTTCCCTCCTCCTTAAAGATAAAGCCCTCCAACCTATGTGAAAATTCCGCCGCGCACAATCGACCAGTGGCAAACTCGCGAAAGCCATGTTCGATCCAGCTGAGATGGCGCCACCAGTTCACCCCAGCAGCCTGCACAACTAAGAAGTCCCACGGCCTGTAGCATGTAGATAGCCTCCTCCCCGTTAGTCTGGTTATCCCCGTCCTCCTCCCACTTGCAGTGATCACGGCCTCCGTCCTCTCCGTCCACTCCCCCAATCCATGCAACATCGCAACACGTGAAAGTACAAAGGGCCTCGACATGTCATCCGTCACAAGTGGTGCTGGCGTCGGTGCCTCAGCGGGCTGGGCGGGCGAAAGACTTCGTCGCTGGCCCCTCACCGTCTCACGGAAGATCCTCGTCCACTGACGCCGATTGGTTGGTGCCTCCTCCACTGAAGGGAAAGCAAACGTTGGTGGACACGTGTGCGGACAAGCGAACGATGCCACATCCTCCTTTGCCCGATCAAACTGCTTTCTGAGAAATCTTTGGACAAGTGATTGGAAGCCACACTTAGCGAAGCGATGGCGACCATATCGCAGCCGCCTCTGAGTATACACTGTCCAATCCTCCCTCGCCTTCTTGCGAAGGCCCCCTATAACCGCATGCAGTTGTCCCTCCCACGCGTATAACTTCTGAATAGTACCCTCATCCGCCGTCATACCTTCACATGCATACAACACAAGGAACTGCACTCGTGCCATGTAGCGCATAAAACGATCACGCGTAGGTAACTGTCTGCAGCGATAGAACTGTACATCGCACATCCACGCACGTCTGGCACGTTGTATATGACAAAGTAGGTCCCGATGATCACTCCAGTCATCGAAGAGTTCCACCCCCAGAGCAGACATCGGGCGAAGACGTGGTAGGACCACCGGGACCCTCGTAGAGCTCTTTTTTCGCACGGCGATGCTCGGAACACATGGAGGGAGCTTTCTCAAGCGTGAGCTCAAAACTCGGAAAAACATGTGTTTCGATTTTCCTCGAAAGTCGGTTCCACAAGTGTTTGGATTGCAATACTGCAGCTACGGACCTGAGAATTTCACTGGCAGAAGCTGCATAACCCACTACAGGTGCGCAAGATACCGGTTCTCCAAACGAAATGTAAAATCCAAAATGTTTTGATAGGAGTACTGCAGCTACCGTCCTGAGAATTTGACAGGCAGACGCGGCATAACCCACTACAGGTGCGAAACTGGCGCCGGCGGTGAACCGTCAACCTGGTCACCGCCGGGAACCGCGTAGAGCTCCTTGCGCGCGTTAGACTGCTCAGAGAACTTCGCAGAAGATTTTCGTGAAATCTTCAATTTTGCATTTTTCATGTCGACATGAAGTTGGTTCGCCAAGTGTTTTGATAGTAAAAGTGCGCCTACGGAGCTCATACCTCGTAGAGCTCTTCGTTATCGACGAGCCAGAGGGATTCCGGCGCGGGGTGCAGCTAGTTGGCCCACCCGGCCCGGGCGGAAGATGTAATAACTTTGGGTCGGTTTTGCTAAGATCTGAAAGACATTCAACCATTCATTTTGAGAGAGCAGTTTTTTGCGCTGAGCATTTGCATATAAGCTTTGTTCTGAGAGCAGCTCAGCTCTCCCGAGGGAGTTCTACTATCGGTTCACTTCCCAGAACCGACCTCATATTGACATCAAAAAATGCAAAAATGAAGATTTTGAGAAAATATTCTGCGAAGTTCTCTGCTTCGATTCTGAGCAATCTTACGCGTGCAAGGAGCTCTACGAGGTTCCCGGCGGTGACCAGGTTGACGGTTCACCGCCGGCGCCAATATTAAGACGCAGAGGCCCTCATAGTCTTTCACAGGTGCGAAAAATCTGGTTTCTGAAAATGAATGATCAAATATCTTTCAAATCTTAGCAAAACCAAGCCCAAGTTACCACATGTCCCTTCTGGTCGGGTCGACCAACTAGCTCCACCCCGCGCCGGAATCCCTCTAGCTCATCGATAGCGAAGAGCTCTACAAGGTAAATACCGATTTCCAAGACTGGCGCCGGCGGTGAACCGCCCACCTGGTCTGCGAGGTCTGCGTTGGCCGGTTCGAGCTCCCTGGAGAGCAGGCCAGGACACAGAGAACCTAAACAGCGAAGCTGCAAAGATTACAGCAGAAGATGCATCAAACAGCGAAGCTGTACAAAATGCACAGGACTGCAAGTACACGAGAAAACAACTACAATTATAATGAGGAAAGCAATGCAGACCATAGATATGGAAGCAAAGCTAGAAGCAGTGAGAGACCATACAGTAACCACTGGTTTATACAGCGATTACCGTCTCAACACAACTGAGACAAACACGAAACTAAGAGAACTAAAATAGCGAGTGCGTTTCAAAGCAATGCGAGACCATGCAGTAACCACATATAGCGATTACCGTCTCAGCACCACTGAAAGACCACGCACGTGAAACACAACGCCGAATTTGCGGTCGACTGCGCGGGCCGTCTGGCCCAGTCGCTAGCAGGAAAACGGGCGGCATACAGAGTCAGGCAAGACACCCAGCACTCTTTGAGCGGGAGTGGGCAAATGCAAAACTCTTATTCCGAACAAAGTGAAGATCACGCGGAGCTCTTATACCAACACGCGCGCATGCCCGACACACACACAGCATGGCAAGAGTCAACGCAAATACAAAGTCCGAAGTATGTCGTAACAACCCGCGGTAAGACAAGAGTCGTATGCTCACGTCGACTGTGTGATAACTGAATGTCTGATAACGTGTACCACTCTAACTCACGAAAGAAACGATTCCAACCTCCCCTCGAAGGTTCCCACTGCGTAGTGAATAAGAGTACTCAGACTGCAACCAAAGTCAAAGTTGGACACGCGCTGAGAGCAACTCGTACAAGATAACAAATGCGGCAAGTACAAACGCAAGCGGCCTGGAAGTACAAGCAGGCAATGCAACAAGTACCAAATGCAGCGAGTACAATCAAAGCAAGCGGCCTATGCACCTGCCCCGATAGGAGCTGTCTCACTTGGCACAACAGAGAACCTGGCACATATCGTCTGTAGGTCCAAGGAGAGGAGGTCGTCGCAGCCGACGAAGTACCCGAAGATATTGGACGGCCCGTACACAAGATGTAGAGTGGAGTACGATACGTGTGTATGCACAGAAACCTGTCCGCACAATGCGGCTCGAGGATGCCCCCAACGGGCCAGGTCGCCGCTGAGCTCCCCGAGGGGGGACAGCAGCAACCTGGTTTTGTTTTTGCGTCTTTGCTGGGACCATCTTGGCCACTGACGCCAGGTCCAACGAAGTCTCAGGCGAAGCGAAGCCTCAAAATTGTCAAGCAAGCAGTCCGCTCTTATAGAGAAACAGAAACATGCATGACCAAAGACGTTCGCACAACCTGTGGGAGAACATCGCAGATGCGCTCCGCCGCTGAAGGCTCGTACAACCCTACAACAGTGAGAACACTGAAGAGGCGAAACTAAAACTACGACAAGAGAGCCAGGAGACCTGGCCAAGAACTGAACATGCACACACTGAATTATTAGAGCTCAAACAATGCACAGAATGACCACACGAGGCAATCATAATCAACAATCAAAAGACCACGCGAGGCAATCACAATTAACAATCCACTACAATACAGCGTACAATACACAGAGAGGTTATGTATGCAGACAATCATGTTCAAAGCTGCCCTATCGTTTGCCTTTGCCTCTGCCTTTGCGGCTACCTCTAGAGCTCCCACCGTTATCGGGAGAAACTCGAATGCTTTGGGAAGATTCGGAAACCAACTTTTGATGTCCAGTCTTGGCTATCACATCCGAAGCGACACGGACAGACGACGACCCCGACGGAGAGGCGATTCGTCCACGTGGCGACGTAATTATGAGCTCTTGGGGCTCCCACATTTGCTGTAGTCTCCGGGTGTCTGCTGCGAGTCTCCGCGGGTCTGCGCGACTGGCACTCTCGAAGAGTCCGTCTGGAACAAGACTGAAACAATCGACAATGTACCCTGGAGCTTTAAACCTGACCTCCTCGGCACGGTCCATTTTCCCCGTCACGAAACGGTGAGATTTGAGACAATCCAAAAGTTCTCCCAGAAACGACTGAACATGATCCGCGAGGTTGAACAAAGTATGGAACCAAAACGATACATGATGTTTTGGGATGGTCATTGGCTCTGTCATGAGGTCTACGAATAATTCAAGCCCCTGGATTAAATACTGCAGCGCAATCTGGCCAGTGAACCCCTTCTGGGCAGTGCTCCTGTCAATCCATGTTTTGACGGCGTCCTGGAAAGTGAGCTGAGTTTGCACACAGGCGTCCTTCAAAGTGAACTGAGTATGCACGCCAGCATCCATTGAAGTGAACTCAGTTTGCACACAGGCGTCCTCGCAAGCGAACTGAGTTTGCACGCCGGCACCCATTGCAGACACTCGAATGCTTTGAGGATGCACTTGGACCTCAGCATCAATCGAGGACACTCGAATGCTCTGAAAGGGACAGTGCATTTCGTCAACCTGGACACCAGCATCAATTGAAAATACTCGAATGCTTTGAGAAGGATATTCGACCTCGTCAACCTGGACCCCAGCATCAATAGCAGAAGAAAACCGCGAAGTGCAACGGAATCAACTTTCGGGCAGCTACCAGAGGGATGGAGTAATTCTGTCAACAACTTATTAGCCTGAGCATCCAACTCTGCATGCAAGACCGCGTCACGGGCGACTAGGCCTTCGAGCACCAACGGAAGAGGACAATTCGGTCGAACCCATCCAAGTTTGCAAGCCCGAGCCTGACGCAAACACCTGGATGCGAGACTCCGCACATGAGGCATCTGGCACAAACAAGACCACAAATGATAGGTATATGGCAGAAAACTGAAGGAAGATGTGTGAGGACACCTGAGAGATCACAACAATGAAATACTGCAAATTGAACAATATGCAATCCACTCAAGGCAGATCTGAAAGAACGGAGACTTACGAGCACCACTCTAGGCAGTGAGGAACAAGTCAGCGTATACAAATTGCCACCACCAAACCGCATTGAGAAATGGATATGAGAGACCAACAATGACAAGCAGGATGTAAAGGGAGATGGGCAGTTGCGTAAGCAGAGCAAAACAACACGCTAGCTCAACGTTCACCCTCGCGGAGGTTCCCCAGGCAGGAGAAAATGAACGTTCGCGGAGCCTTGAGCCTTGAGCCAGGGAACCTCGTAGAGCTCCTTGCGCGCGTGAGACTGATCAGAACCGAAGCAGAGAACTTCGCAGAAGATTTTCGTGAAATCTTCAATTTTGCATTTCTCATGTCGACATCAAGTTGGTTGCGCCAAGTGTTTTGATAGTAAAAGTGCGCCTACGGTGCTCATGTTCTGACGCAGAGGCCCTCATAGTCTCACAGGTGCGAAAAATCTGGTTTCTCAAGATGAATGGTCAAATTTCTTTCAAATCTTAGCAAAACCGATCCAAGGTTACCATATATTGTTGTCTGGTCGGGTCGACCAACTAGCTGCACCCCGCGCCGGAATTCCTCTAGCTCATTGATAACGAAGAGCTCTACGATGTACGAATGGTCAAATCTCTCACAATCTTCGAAAAACCGACGCCAGGTTGTCACATTCTCCTTTCTGGTCGGGTCGCCCAACTAGCTCCACTCCACGCCAGAATTCCTCTTGCCGAAGAGCTCTACGAGGTATTAGCGGAGTACAAGTAGTGTTTCGGCTACAGCGCTGATAGCAGACGGAGTTCAGGCGTCTAGATACTCCAGTCTATCGCGTCTGATCATGTACTCCCGATTGGTCTGCCAAAGAGCTCTGCAGCTATGGCAAGAGCTTCCTTTGGCGTAAGCTGAAAAACTCGAAAAACGCGTTTTTCGGTTTATCCGAAGACGGCTGCTTCAAGTGTTTTGATAGTAATACTGCACATACGGAACTGAGAATTTCACTAGAAGACGCAGCATAACCCACTACAGGTGCGAAAAATACCGGTTCTCAAAACGACTTTCAAAATCTCTTACAATCTCCCAAGAAAAAACTGACCCCAGGTTGACACATTGCCCGCCCGGGCCGGTTCGGCCAATGGCACCGGCGGTGAACCGTCAACCTGGTCTGCGAGTCTGCGTTGGCCGATTCGAGCTCCCTGGAGAGCAGGCCAGGACACAGAGAACCTAAACAGCGAAGCTGCAAAGATTAAAGCAGAGATGCATCGAACAGCGAAGCTGTACAGATATGCACAAGACTCCAAGTACACGAGAAAACAACTAACAGTATAATGAGGGAAGCAATGCAGACCATAGATATGGAAGCAAATCTAGAAGCAGTGAGAGACCATACAGTAACCACTGGTTTATACAGCGATTACCGTCTCCACACCACTGAGAAAAAAACACGAAACTAAGAGAACTAAAACAGCGAGTGCGCTTCAAAGCAATGCGAGACCATGCAGTAACCACATATAGCGATTACCGTCTCAGCACCACTGAAAGACCATGCACGTGAAACACAACATCGAAATGTGGACTAGAGAACGAATTAATCGGGCAACATACAGAGTGAGCCAAGACACCCACCACTACTTAGAGCGAACGCGGGCTCTTATCCGAACAAAGTGAAGATCAGGCGAAGCTCTTATTCAACACACGCGCATGCACGACAACACACACAGGCATGAAGAAAGGCAACGCAATGACAAATCACAATAGTTCGAACTCGAAGAATGTGAAAACCAAGTGCAATGAGTTCTGAACTTCACTCAAGGCAAAGTATGACCTCAATATCAAAGACCTCAATATCAAGTACAATGAATTCTGAACTTCACTCGAGGCGAAGTATGAAATCGGATGCCCAAAGACCTCAATATCAAGATACTCCAATGTCACAAAACTGTAAAAATACTTCAATGTCAAAGAAACCACACGTGTACAAGAGCAGCAATGGAGAGAAAGCAAGCAGGCAGTACAAACAAGTACAGAGCGACGACAGCGGCCTAAGCGTTGAAGTCAGTCCCACTTCTGACGCCAAACAGAGCTGGCCTCCAGCACCTTGGTCGGCAGGCCGTGGACGAGGAAGTACACGGAGATGCGGCAGTACGATACGTGTGCATGCACAAAAACCTGTCCGCACGACGCGGCTCGAGGAGGCCCCCGACGGGCCAGGTCGCCGCTGAGCTCCCCGGGCCTGGTCACCGCCCGGAACCTCGTAGAGCTCTGAATCGAAGCAGAGAACTTCGCAGGAGATTTTCGTGAAATCTTCAATTTTGCATTTTTCATGTGGACATGAAGTTGGCTCCTCCAAGTGCTTTGATAGTAAAAGTGCGCCTACGGAGCTCATTTTAAGACGCAGAGGTCCTCATAGTCTTTCACAGGAGCGAAATATCTGGCTTCTCAAAATGAATGGTCAAATATCTGTCAAATATGAGCAAGACCCAGCCCAAGTTACCACATCTTCTTTTCTGGTCGGGTCGACCAACTGAGAGCCGGCGGTAAGGGGTCAACCTTGGTTTTTTGGGTTTGCGCGGGCTCCAGGGCGCTGTCCGCAGCGCCGCCCGACAGGGCGCCTAGCGAGCCTAGCAGGTCTAAGCGGAGGGCGCGTGCGAGCGCCTCGGCGGCAGCCAGTTCATAATCCATGATCGTGGAGTGCGGTGGTAAAAAAAAAAGGCACTGGAGGCGATGTCCCTCCAAACGAGGGCATCACGCGGCTCACTCCCCGGGGTCCTCCTGCGGGCTATCTGACGAGAGCCGAATGGAGAGGGAGTGAGTGGTGTGGTAGGTCGGACCCCACTGACTGTAATCCAAGAAGCCTTTCTGCAGCCAAAAACCACATCCGCAACCGTTGCCGCCCACTCCCCTATCGTATGCCCCACGATAGGCGACGTGTATAAGATATTGTGACTCAATCGGACTGCATGCAACCTGATTGGAGTAGAAAGTGCGGCCCTCTCGGGCCAGGTGGGTGAGCTCGTCGGCCCTGGTGTTATCTTCCCTGTACTCATGTCGATATATGTCCCGTCCTATGTTCGCCGCACGGATGTTCGCGCGGCAGCTCAGCTCGTAGATGGTCTCCACACACTCCGCAACTCTGTCGGCATAACCCTGATTATGGCACCTCCACTTCCCTTGGAGCCACGATGAGACCAGTAGTGAGTCCCCTTGGAGGTCCACGCCTATCCCCTCGCTCAAGACGTCCCAAACCGTAGCACGCTGACATATAGTGGCCAAACGCTTGGACTGTTTCTCAAGGGCCTCAGGAGTCGTTCCCTCGGTGGACTGCTTGGCCTCGAACTGGGTGGAGCTCCAACTGGGACCCGTGGTGGCAACATACCAATATTCAAAGATTCTGCGTTTATTGAAGTGTCCCAAGATCGTCCGCCACAACTTCACAAAGCCTGTGTATGAGTCGTCAAAGCCGTCCCACCAGCAGGGTCCCAAGACTTCCCTATACGGGCATTGCCAGGTCCGTTGACCTATACTCGTGGGACCAAAACGTCTCCTGGTGCCCGAGCGTGCCAGTGAGAGCTGCCCCGATGCATGCAAAGAAGATGTCAGGTCGTCTCTCCGAGACGTCCACTCAGGATTGTCGAAGAGCAAAGTGCCTCGACTGTCCAAAAAGGTACGTGAGCACCGTCCGTCCCCTCTGTCGATCCTCCGTCTCACATCCCTCCCATCCTCCGTATCCGTCTCCCTGGCAGTGTAACGAGAATGGATAGCAAGCTGGCCCTGCACATACTGAGCCACACTTCGTGCAACATTGGAACTGCGTACACACACCAGCTGCGTGATAGATTGGAAACCCTCATCACAGAATTGCCGTCGGACGTGGTCCAGTCGTCGTGGTCTCCATATGCCCCAGCTCTCGTTGGCTTGCTTCCTGCGTCCGAACATAGACATGAGTAGACTCCCTTCGCAACTGTGCAATAATCGCAGCCCCTCTGCATCCAGTGTACAGCAGTCGAGGCCGTAAGACATGACGCTCTGAAGTCTCTGTTGATATCTATAGAACTTAGCCCGTGGGCTCACATATTTAGAACGAAAATACGGTGCATGTGCGAAAAATGCCCTCCTGGCCATCGTGATCCGATGACGAATAGCTCCATGTGTAATATCAAACTCTGATTCCACCACCGTGCCTAGTACCTGCATCTTCGTCACTCTCTTGAGCGGGAAGGGGGTCCCTGCAATATCCACCTCCAAGGAGCACGGTGGGGAGCCTCCTGCAATCATATACTCGAGAGAGTCTGGTTTCCATGATAAACCCCAGTCTCTGAAGCAAGTTGTGAGTGATGTCAAGAGGTGCTGTAAATCCTGAGCCGATGTCGCAACGAGATATATGTTGTCCGCCCACAAGGCATGTGAGTACCTGCACACGTCCATAGATACATTCAATATGTCCGTCACGGGGTATCCTAGCTGGAGGTCATCCCAAGACTTGAAAAGGTCAGCACACATCGCAAGCACCACAAGATTAAAGAGCAGGGGACTCTCTGTGCCTCCCGTGCGGATAGAGCGGTCCCAAGACGTAGTAGCCTCCAAGCCCTCGAAACATAGTATACCCGACGTCCCAACAAGAGGCTCCAAGATAGCATGCGTGAGCCTAGGGTGGACTTCGAGGGCCTCCAGAGCACGCGCCACAACTTGGATCGTAATATTGCCGAAAGTCTTTTTGATATCGGCCTGCGCAACATGGGCAGTTTGGTCGTTGTTGTTTTTGCCCCAGACGCTCCCATGTTGACATATCGGTTTGAATGGCCCCACGATCTCCCAAGGGCTCCTACCAGGGCTGAAACCGTAGAGTCCCAGTCGTTGCAGGTCCCCAGACACCTCCGCCTCCAGTGTAATAGTAAGGGATGTGAGGTACCATGTGGCAAGACTGTTTGCAACAACAATCGAGCGTGTCTCACTCAATGATCGCAACGTGGCTACTTTGGGCATCAACGTAATGAGACCCTGTCGCCATGTATCTGGAGTCGGAGAGCATGCACGATAGATAGAGAGAAATGTGGTGTAGATATGGCGGATAGATCTCCACGTGAGCGATTTCAGCAACTCGGCTGCACATCCGTCGGACCCGCACGCCTTCCCCGTGCGAAGGCGGGCTCTCGCTCTGAGCACAACGGCACAAGAGAGCTTCGGCGCTGGCCGACCTGACACATTGGCCTGCTCCCGCAAGCGTCGTAGCAAAGAGAGTTGCTCTGCGCGAGACTGTGCACACGACATGGTAGTCGCCCCGTGCATCTGAAGCGCCTCCTCCCACTTC